ATGCATATTTGTGAATAAAAGTTATAAAGTAATAAAATCACGACCCTATTTAATATAGAAAAAAATGCACTTAATTAATAAATATTTCTATATTTGTGAAAAAAAGTAATAAAGTAATGAAAGTAGGAAATAAATAAAATATGGTGAGAATTAAAAAGGGAAATCGGAAGCAAAGGTTTTGTTATATTGTTTTGTTTTTTCCATATTTGCATTATATTGTTTTGTTTTTTTATTTCCACATTTGGAAATAAATTATTGTGGAGATATGTCTTCATTTTTTATGTACAGATTTAATTTAATTTCATTTTAATTTTGAGACGAAAGTACTAAAAAAATTAATATATTAATGGTATTGTCTTAAAAGATTTGTAACATGATCCGATAAAAATCTAATATACTATGTATATACAATACTACATTACTATATATAAAAAATAATACTTATTAGTATTAAATATAAAAATTGTTATAAATAAGGAAATAAAATACGGATATAAAATAGTACTCGGTACATTATTGTATATACAAAATAATACTGACTACTATATAAAAAGCGTTTTTAAAGATTTTTTATTTACATATTTGCGAATATAATGAAAGGAGTAAATAATTGTAAAAAATGGTAAAAGTTTAAAAAAAGAAATAAGGAGATAATTCTATGAAGAATAATACACTAGAGATTCAAATAAATCTTATGTGCATATATTATTATGGAAAACATTATTATTACATATGGTAATCTCGGTGCATATATTATATAATGATAATTATTTTAGAAAAAAATAATACTCCGTATATATGGAAAATACATACTATTTATAGATGATATATTTTTATATGCACATATGATGGGGGATAACTTCATACTTGGACGATAATAAATATGATATCAATATAAATTCATAACGTAAATATGAGCCGTGCAACGCACGGGTGTGATACTAGTTTGTTAGTATAAAAAAAGAGCGTGGAGTTACAAGCAAACACTTATAAAAAAAATTTTGGTAGTATAATATGTGAATATGATTAAAAAACAACTCACTAAAGTTACTATTATATTATACAATACAAAATTAAATCCCAAAAGACTAATATCAATCACACAAAATTATGTCTCCATGCATGGGTGGCCTCGAAGGTTTGCAAAGTGACCAACTGCACATGACCTTTAAAATTTTAGGGCCCCATATTTTCAAATGTGTATTATTCTTATGTTTAAAAGTTTGTGTTTTAATATTCAAATTATTATAAAACTAATAATTGAAAATCAATTTTGGCATTAATTTTGAAGCATAAGTATTTTGAAAAAAATAAAATAAGGCCCAAAATGTGATTTTTGGACTCGGCCAATTTCACATTTAAAATTGACAATATTTGACCACCAATCTAATGAATAAAATAGTAAAAAATGTATCTGTTTGCCTAAATAAACCAAAAACACAAAAATATTACAAAAAGCAACAATGCAGTAAGAAGAAGAATATATTCCGAAAATGTATCTGTTTGCCTAAATAAACCGAAAAATATATTTTGGAGGATATATATATTTTATTTAAAGTTTTTTAAAAAATTAAAAACAACAATGTTTGACAATGTTTAGTGTATGTTACACATTAAAAATTAATTGTAATAATATTTTTGTGCAATTGAATACTATTAATTAAATAAATAAAATCAATTTTTTTAAAAAATAAAAAAGCATGTTTATTCGGTCCGATCGCGGTCTTGTTCGGGTTTTACCGGTCCGGTCCCGAGCTAGTCCTTACCTTAATCGGTCCGGTCTTCGATCCACAAAATGTCTCTTGTTCGGTTCCGGTCTGGGCCCGGTCCTGGCAGTCCGGACCCCATGAACACCCGTAGTAGCTAATTTAGGGTTAAATTCAATAGCTATTTTAGCTGAAATGTCAAATTCCATCTTTCTGAGGGTCCGTTTGGTATACGGAATTGATGGAATTAGAATTGAAATTTTATTGGATTCAATTTCATAGAATTGAATTCTTCCAATTCCAATTCATTTCTTGCACTATCAATTCCAAATCCACATAATTTTTGTACTACCAAACACCAGAATTAGAATTGAAGTACTCAATTCTAATTCCATTAATTGAATTCCGTGCACCAAACGGGGCCTGAGTTTTTTTTTTCTTTTTCTTTTTTTCTTCATATTTACCCGAAGCTGTTTTGTTTAAATATTTTTGCTCAATTCATCCCTACGACCCTAACCTCAGCAAAGCATTTAAATCCAGCACTGTTTCCATCCGCAGTGGAACGCCTTTGCTGAAACTTCGTCACTTTCTCTTCTTCTTCTTCTTCTTCAATCACCAACTCTGCATATCCCTCCAAAAAAACGGTTCAATGATTGGCCTTTTTCTGTAATCGCTTCGGCCGTCGCTTCCCATGGCGCTCCCCATCGCAAAGGTCACTTTCCTCTTGGGAACAGGTCAGTACGTCTCTGTATCGTGTTCAATTTGCATCGTATTCGTGTGAAGATGCTTGTGTGTGTGTTTTGTGTTTGTGTAGTTTGATATGGGCTACTTTGCATTCCTCAGGAATTTTAGGGTTTCGATATCAGTACTCTCTAGAGTTCAATCTATAGTGTGAGCTTTGGATATTGGGTTTTCTTCCATGTGTATTGATTTTAGGAGCAATTATTAGCATCTGCAGTCTTCCCCAATTTTTTTCTCATTCGTTTGTTCTGATATTTTATCTTCTAAAGAGTGCCCATGGCACAAGATAAGTAGCAATTACTGATTATAGTTATCTTAATTTGTGCTAGGTGATAAATGTATAGATTTCAGTGATAGTTATACAAGAGTATTTTTTTTAATCACATAAAATCTTATTTGTAATAATCAAAGTCTTTCCTAGTTTCCTGTGACTTGAAAAAGAAGCATATTCATTGCTTCTTATCATGTACTGCATTATCGGAACCCTTATGAGAATGCATCTCTAGCTTAATGATCAAAATTAGTGTAGTTGGATTTTAACCAAGAGAAAATAATAAGGGCCTTAACGCTGGAGTGTTAATTGAGATTCAGATTAAGGAATTCCAGTGTGAAGGTTTTGAGGGTGGATTTTTCATGTCAAATTTCTTTCCCAGCTGGCTTTCTATGTTGACAAAAACTTGTGTTAGCTAGAAAATTTGTGAGTTGTATCACATTTCAGAAAATTATCACTTTTGTGCTATTTTTTTGGAATTTATATTTTTTAGGGGTGTATCAAAATTTATTACCTTTAGCACACTGAAGCCCAAATAAATTATTATTATTTTTCTCTGTTCTCCAGGTGTTGTTGTATCAGCTCTGTCTAAAGAATCAAGTCTCAGTGATTACTTTTCAGGCGCGTTTAAGGTATGATTAGTAATTTTGCATTACATCTATATGGATATTCTATCAGTTTTGTATGTGTTTAGTTTTAATAATAATTACATAGTATTTAATTTGCTATGGCACGCCACTGTTTTCTCTCATTGCAGATATTCAAGAAAATCAAGGGAGACAGTTCAAAAAATTCAAATCCAAAGCCTTGCAGCAATGCCTTGTTACAGCAGGTTTGCAATGTGCCTTTGTGTTGTCATTTAACTTATTTTTCTTAGTTTATCATTGCATGTCTCACTAGTGTGTCTAAAAGTAATAGTTTCATATGATTTGTTGGATTATATAGAGCATCATCTCATAAAGTACACCATGTTACCATGAAGTATTAGAGCTAGATCAATGTGAATGTTCTGCTTGATTCGTGAATTATATGATCATAAACAAGTTAACAATTCACATAAATAAACAAAGACAATTTCAATTTTTGTCTCTTCTGGGCCTGTGGTGCACTTGTCAAATTGGGTTGCAATGGTCTGTGAAAAGCATTATGTCCTCATCAGTGCTCGATAGAAGTTGCAAAGTCAGCCCATTTGGTTATAGAGAGAGAGCAGTTTTTACCGATATAGCCCACAGAACTAAGTTTTGTAATGCTACTGTGTTACCCATTGTTATCCCATTTTTGCAAAAAAATGTTTGAGGCTTAAACTTCTCCTGTGAAGGAGAAGCATATATCTCACCTATGACAAGCTTACTCATGATTATAATGCTTCAAGACTCCGATTCATGACACTTGTAAAGATAATCACAATCTTTACTACCGACGACTATTGGCACCATAATTTTTTCTGATGATTATAATGCTTCAAGACTCCTTGTGATTCATGAAACTTGTAAAGATCATCACAATCTTTACCACTGACGACTATTGGCCCCATAATTTTTTCTGACAAAAAACATGAGTCTGGATGTGTGGTTATGCCATATGGTCAAGTGCTGAACCTTGTAGGTGACAAATGGATTATTTGTATACTGAACCCATTCATTGGAGACAAGGACAACAAAAGATGAGAAGTTGTATCTTTTTTCTTTTTATGACTATTTTCATTTTAAAGGAAACTGAATCCACTTAGTTGTTTTTCTTATGAACCTGCTAGGTTCTATTAGGAGCCTTTACCAGTTTTCATGACTCGCAAGAAGGTTATTGTTCTAATTTTTGAATTTATATTTACCTTTTTAGGTTAATAGCTTGCGAGAGGAGCTGAAAGTCTTGGCATCAAATAGATCTATAACTATTGTTGCTCCCTATGGTTCAGGTATGTTCAAGTTACATGTGAAAGCACGTGGTTTGCATTTCTAAGTGACTAAGTCATTACAAGATTTGCAAATTTAGTCTTGTTGCAACTGTTATTAAGCTACTGAGTTTTAACCCTCTTTGTTCTCCATTTGCTTTCATACTAAGATACTATATATCCTTCAACAACAGCAAAGCCTTAGTCCAAGGAACTTAGGGCCTGGTACATAAACCAAGAGGAGAATCATGTTCAGGCATTCAGAAAAATGCTCTCGCATTTTGTCCTCTAATTTGAGATGGCTACATTGCTTTCTATCCCTAATCACCCTATTTTAGTCTTATCCAAATTCAGAGTGTAGAATGTCAAATTCTTATTATTCGCATGCATCAGCCATTAATTATTGACAATTGTCCATGTTTTAACTTTTAATGTTTAATGTTAATCATGGAAAAACTAGTTAATACTCCAAATGTGGTGGTTGTGGAGATCGTGCAACTACAATATTTAATTTATATTTGAAATTCAATGCAGGTTCTAGTAGTAAATATGGCTTGATTGTGGTGGTTGTTGTGGTTGGATATGGATATATTTGGTGGAAGGTAACCTCTAAATTATAATCCATATAGTTTTCTTGTAACTGCTTACTTTGTTAGTTGAAACATACAATGTTATGTGTTTAACTTTTCAATTAATAATACATTCTCCCTACGATGAGAGAGTATTCTTTTGATCTGCACCTTCCCTGTATTTATCATGGTATGGAGTTGATTCAGGCTTCTGGTCAGAATTCATCAACTTCTTGTCCATTCCTGTGGAAGTTATTGTGCATATGTGGGTTATTTGCCATGCCTTCCTTTTTTTGATTCTTTGTGTTTATTCTAACAGTCACAATTTGTATGTGTTATACTCTGTATATGGATGGAAGTTTCAGGGGATTTAATATTTCCATACAAAGAAAACCCAAACTTTCAAATAGCCAATATATTTGTTTCTTGACTTTAAATTAAACATGATTATTTTTCACTCCTAAGGTTACTTCATAGCTTCATATGAGTTTCATTTTTCCAATAAAAATGTTTGAAATAACCTGAAATATTTAGACGGGCACATGAAAATTTTCTCATAATTGACATTACCACTATGAACGGGTGAAATGTTGAACATCATCTCTTGTAGAAATGAGCAGAGTATGAGTAGATTAGTAGAATTCAAGTTATTTTGGGTATATCCGCCAATGTCCATATTAATAGCTTGTAGAATGAAATTTCAAAAAATGATACTGCTAACCACAAAAAATTCTAAGGTACAAAATTATTTCATCGTAATAATATAAGAAAATGATAGCTTAACTTGCTTGATTCTATCCCTATAGGAATGCTATGACACATTCATTCAAATGTCAAAGCACTCAAATATGACGAGTTCCTATTTTTTTGTCAGAGATGATGATATTCCCCTTACATTTGAAATTTGAAACTATTAGGACCTCGTTTTGGTTTTAGTGATTTATTGCTTTTTAATTTTTTATGTGGTGTTTTTTATGTATTCAAGGGGGGAAGAATCAAGTTATTATATACTCCCTCTTTCCCTCATGGATCTTCCCATTAGCCCCTTTTATTTGTCCCACATAGATCTTCTCATTACCTTTTTTAACATTTAAAATACCACAACTACCCCCACTTACTTTATTTATTACACCTTTTCCACCTTATTTAATACACCCCACTAGACCTGGAAAAACTGACCCGGACCCGATAACCCGAACCGAATAACCCAAAACCCTAACCCGAATTGACCCAAAAATTGAAGAACCAAAATAGAACCAAACACCCGAAATGATCCGAACCGAACCGAATGTATTCAGAAACGATTCAGATCCGAACCCGACTTAACCCGAACCTATTAAACCCGAATCGATTAAACCCGAAACCGATTAAACCCGGAACCGATTAGACCCGAAACCGATTAGACCCGAAATGGATCAAATTTATTAATATTTCATTTATCAAATGAACTTGGAGAAAAAGAATTACCGATATATTTTTACATATGTTGATGTGTTTCTAAAAAAACATATTTAAATGAAATAATATAAACCTAAACCGATACAAACCCGAATCGATATAAACCCGAACCGATACAAACCCAAACCAATATAAACCCAATCCGATATAAACCCGAACCGATACAAACCCGAACCAGAACCGAAACCAAACCAAAAACCAGTCAAACCGAAATAAACCCGGGACCGAACTGACCCGAACCGAACTGACCTGAACCGATTTTAACATATATCCGGAAGAGACCCGAACCGAAACTGAACTGATTGACCCGATTGCCAGGTCTACACCCCACCCATTTTCATTAAGGGTATTTTGGTAAACTTTCATCTTTTTTCAACTCTTCTTAAAAACCGTAAAAAGTCAAAACGAGAAGATCTTAGGGAGACGGAGGGAGTATAAGTTTATGAGTTTATCATGGATTTATCATTTTGCATGACTGCCAAGTTAAAATGATATCTTAATTTTTGCTTCATCAGGATTTTACGAACATTTCATTTTGATGTTCAAGTTTGTAATAAAACACTATTTTATTTTTTTTACTGCTATTAATAGTCAAAATCGATATATATGTTGATATTTACGTGAAAAGGTACCCATAGATATGTTTGTCATTCATAAATTTTGTTAATATGACTGAATCTCAATGTCCAATGTCTACATTCCTATCCTTTTCGTTTGTGTAATTTCCTTATTAAGATGTCCAAGAACTGTTACTCTGAAAGTAATTTTGCATTTGCAGGGTTGGAAGCTTTCTGATATGATGTTTGCAACCCGGCGTGGTTTAAGTGAGGCATGTGCTAGTGTGTCCAAAGAGCTTGAGGGTGTCTACACATCGGTTTCGGCAAGTTCCTTCCTATTTGATACTACTGTTTCCTTTTTACAAACATATATAGCTGAATTTGGATGTCCATACCAATAACCAAACATACCCAGTATATCCCAATTGCAAGTAAAGGTCTGAGGGAATTATGTCTGTCCTCTGTATTCGAGAACTATGACAATCATGGCTCTCTCGTGTTGAGCTAGTCCTCACAGCCAGGTTCACTACAGAACATGATGCGGATTGCTGGATCTTTTTAAATCTGCTTGCCACTTATCCATGATATGACTTTTTATATCTAGTTTTGACAGCGTACACAATTTCATTGCCTGTTAGTTTTTCAGTACTTGACTCTTGGTAGAGAATTATTGTTTTTTCATTGTAAATGCAAAGGTCTTTTTTTATATGGGTTTCTTGTGCATTCCAGGCAACAAGGCGTCATTTATCTTCCCGTATTGATCGTGTTGATTGTAAAGTAGATGAGTGCATTGACAATACAGCTGCTATTAAAGGGGAGGTGGGATTTACTAGGATCTACAAAGATATAGCTAGTTTTCCTGTTTCTCATTGAAGGTTTCCTATCCACTGAACAACCTTATCCTATTATTTAGGTTTCTGAATTTCGTGGGGAGGTGAAAATGGTTGACAACAATCTCCGATCAGTACATCTTGTTGTAAAAACACTGGTAATTTAGATTTTATATTAATTTTTAGGTATTCATGCCCAAGTGCCGATTTTTGCTAATATGTGTCTATTTGTTGAATGGAATGTAACTATCATGTGATGCAGGAGAACAAAATTAGCAGGATAGAATGGAAACAGGTACAAAGTTTGAACAACATTCACTATTACTAATGCAGTTAGTTTTTTTGGTTGTCTAATGTCTTGGGGTTGTGTTGATGTGTGCAGAATGAGATAAATTTTGGCCTGGGAAATTTGGTTGGTTTTGCAATGAATTTGGAGAATGAAAGAGCCACAGAACAGATCAAGGCATGATAATCATTTTCCTCATTACTAATGTTTTTATTTATTTATTTATTGTGCCGTGTCATCATAACATGTTATATGATGATTCCACAGGCATCTGCATCAAGTTCAACAAGGCCTGCTCTTGAAATGCCAGAAGGGACTCTAACAGTGGTAATTTTGGGAACTATCAACCTTTGTGTTAGAATGGCTCATCTTATATTCAATAACTCTACCGATGTAAAACTTTTCCCTCTGTTATAGTGTTATCACTTTGGGGATGGAGCAGGCTTTGAGCATACATTGTGGGAATGTTAAGGGGTTAATTTTTAAATAAAAAAGAATTACTACATATGTAATTCTAAATACACATGTAGAGCACTTGTCTTGAATATTAGTCATTTTGGTAAATAGCTTCCCCAAGTTCAAAACGTCTAAATAGTAAAGAGCACTTGTCTTGAATATTTGTGTGCAAATCAAATGCATCAAAATTCTTGCTACTTGCCATCCGGGCATCACTATTTATTGTATAGATATAGCAGTGTTTGCCATTGCTTCTACAGATTACCGGTCCCTTGAAGGTGATTGCAGAACACCCCTTAGAGCCTTGGCGCTCACATATATATTGTTCCATATTCATTGCAGGTTGAGTCCTTGCCTCGCAGTGCATTAGCTGATCCACCATCTCCATCGGGTTCAAATGGACCTCAGAAGGTTAGTCAATGATATCTGTATCTGCTCTTTAGGATGGGTTAACCTTTGGTGCTAAATCAAGTAAAATAGTTTCTCTAGGTGTTAGAATCCCTTTGGCTGTCTCCCTGACCCCACACAGCCCATGCGTAGGCGGAGTAGGTTCTACTTGCTAGGGCCGTTCCGTTCAACTCATTCTTTTAGCTTATAACATATTCTTATTAAAATCAGACCAGACTCGATCAGATTAGAAACAACTTAAAAAATAAGTACAATCAAATCAAATGAGACCAGATCAGACTAGATCTTCAAAAAGTCAGATTAGGCGAACGGAACGCAACCACAGTCATACAGAGCCTATCGAAAATTTCTGATTTTTTTACTTTAACTAGTGCTAAAAATAATCTTGATTCCCTCTGCAGAATCTTTTTTTCTTCTTTAGTTCTGAATATTTGTTGACAAAATTAGCCCTATTAAACTGCAGGAGTCCCTGCATGCAGTTCTGCCATCATCTGGTGTAAAGGTAGAGAACAAACATAACAACACTTCAAAAGAGTCTTCGAATTATCCTATTAGGACTACTAGTTCATCCCCTATAACGAACACATTTCTTTTACAGATCCATCGCGGACTATCAGATGTGGTCGGATTAGCAAGTGACAGCAGCAATAGTCCTATGGTAGGACACGGCGGCCTTTCCACTCCTCCGCCGTTGGAGTCAAAGGCCCAAAATTCAAGTCTTGGTGTATTTGGGCGAACGCTCTCTGCTAGTGCTGCCGCTTTATTTACAAGAAGCCGCGCTTTGTAACAGACGGTCCCGTGTTATTTGCTGCACTGGAGCTGTTTTTGGTCTTGATTTTGTAGTGCCCCAAAAGATGTATTTGTATGGGTTAATTTAGAACTCCAGTCTAAATGTCTTTGTCTACCTACCCTTGGGTTGACACTATATTTTCACACTAATATATGAACAAAGGGTGGATACTAGAATTTCCTACCTTAACAAAAGGTTAATTACGCTTTTAGCCCTTTAATTTGTTTTTCTTTGTTTTGATAATTTCTTTTGTGCATTACTCCTAGTTTGTGAACCAAATATGGACTGTTAATTTTACAGAGAAAACTTGTTTGCTTGTTGGCCATGTACACTATAGTCTTAACCCATGTACTGGGGGGGGGGCATAATTGTTTGGATTTTAGTCTTATCTACACACAAAATTTGTATAAATAGATTTTGTACATAGTACATTCATTGATAAATTCTATTTCTATAGACAATTTGTCTATACAAGCAGATTTTGTCTATGAATTTGTTATATACGGAGTACATGTTTTTCTATGAACTTACTTTTTGGCGTACAACTTGAAATGCAGTGTACACCTTGAAGTCACCGTGTACTGACCGTGTAAGGTGCTAATACTTGGTATATACGTAGTACTACCTCCGTCCCATTTTATAACGTCTGTTTCGGTTTACGATGTTTGACTGAAATTATTTTCAAACCATTTTATATAACAAATGGTATAGAATTAAAAAATAAAAATTACATATTAAAAAACTACATCAAAAGATCTACAAAACTAGTAGTGACAATAATATTTTATTTTATCAAATTGCTATCGAAAATAGAGAAAGAAAGTGAATGAAGTTTGACCCGGTGAATAGTAAACAGACATTATAATTTGGGACGGAGGGAGTATTTTCTACTAATTTAGGGTAATATAATTTTTTGAATACTAATTTAGTCCCATGTATGAATTAAGTCATATTTACATACTCCCTCCGTTCCAATTTATAGTGTCTGTTTTGGTTTACGATGTTTGACTGAAATTATTTTCAAATCATTTTATATGACAAATGATATAGAGTTAAAATATAAAAATTACATATTAAAATACTATTCTCTCCGTCCTACAAAAAAGTTCCCATTTTGATGTATTTTTGGTCAAACAGTTACATGCTTTGACCATAAATTAAATACTCCTAAAAAAATTTGAGATATCAAAACTAGATTCTAAAAGAAATCCATTTATATTAAATTTATTTTATAATTGAATATATCTTTCTCACAATATGTAGTCAAAGCGTGTAAAATATTTGACTAAATACTATTTAAAATGTGAACTTTTTTGTGGGACAGATGGAGTACATCAAAACATTTACAAAATTAGTAATGACAATAGTACTTTATTTTATCAAATTGCTAATGAAAATAGAGAAAAAAGTGAATGAAGTTTGACCATGTGAATAGTGAACATACATTATAATTTGGGACGGAGAGAGTAAAACACTATTTTAGTCTTATATATCTTATGAGCCCTTTACAGCTATGATACCATATGAGGAAATAATCAATCAATTATTATTGACAAAAGAGTAACAATTTATAATGGTTATAATTAGGAGAAGTAATGATTAATCATAAAGTTTGCCTAGGAGTGTTAGAAATCATACAATAAATATAAAAGATATTTTGTATCCTTAATTTGATGTGGGTCACTACTACGCGACACGCTACCACCACTTCTCGAGGCTACTAGCTCGAGAAATAACAGGGATCCTTGCAGAACTCTATATTGACCGCTTAAACAATAGTAGCTAAAACTATTTAATAAATGACCAATATTCTATTTTAAAGTTTTTTACCCTCAACCTATAAATTTTCTTCCATTTATATTTTTTACGATCTCCAATGTAACATTTTGACTATGAGTATATCTATTTATTAATACATATATATTAAAAATAGGAGAATTTACCTAAATAGTACTAAGACATAATGACTTTCTTAATGTAGTGTCATCTATTTTTATTTTTCAATGAAGTGCCACTAGTCATTATCCATTGGTCATTGTTCAAGTAAATGTCCATCGTCATTAGACATTGTTTAAATTAAATATCCACCATCACTGGACATTGTTCGGAACGGCTTTTCTCCTCTCCTCATCAGCGCTGTCACATCTTTTTCTTGGCAATCTTTCTTCTTCTCTTCTGGGCCGGATGCATTCAGTTACTCTAGCCGAAGATATGCCTCTAACTTTTGATTACAATTCTGGTCACGATTCAAGTAAACGTTGGCGTTCAATCTTCACCTCCCAAGACTTTGGTAGCATGTTAAATATATTAATTATTTTAATATGTTTAGTATTATATATTATAATTATGGTTGTTACATATTATAGCTAGAGTTATTATTATACAATATTTCCTTATTTATCTAGCCATTAATATGGAGAATTCTAGAATACTCCAACTCCACCTATATATCCATTGTTTTGCATTCTTTCAAATTATTCAATCAGAAAGCATTCTTTATTAATTTACAAAAAAAAAATAATTTCTTTTTTACTTAAAAAAATGTAAATGTTAAATAAAAAGTAAATAAAAGTGTAATCATTGCAGCGAAAGTGAGACACTACGAGTGTGAAGTGAGTGAGATAGTAAGTGCAGTCAGCGCTATGTGACGTCGAATGACGGGTAATTTGCTGTGAGCGGTGCTAAAACGCTAAAAATAGTAGGGGTGTGCATGGTTTGGTATTTCTAAAGAACCGTACGATATCGTTACTATTCAAATGGTTCAGTACGGTTTCGACTTTAATTTGCGACTAAACCTATTTGGTACTATGTCATTCGTTAACGGCATGGTACCATGCCATACTAATATCTAATCATTCCATAATATTTCGGAACTTTGAAAATATTTTTATTCATAATAAACAATTCACGTAATGTAAAGAATTGGTTCGCCAATTTTTTATGAATTCTTACACAAGTGTATTATTTAGTAACAAATTTTTACAAAACATATACATAGTTTGAGTTTCCTAAATAGGACTAAAACATAAAAAAATGCCAAAATAGAACTTCTATGTTTTTATTACTATACACGTGTATATTACTATATTTTTTGGTAATGTACATGACCACGTTTGGTAATGTGAATGCATTTTAACTCCTATCTCGTGAATAAAAACATGAAAGTCCTATTTTGGTATATTTTCAATATTTTACTCATACTTTAGTCTTTTTTCCCATTATAATTTGAGTTGTACTTTGGGGTAATAAAGTACTATAAAATATGAGTTTAAGTATGTTAAATTTACACTAAATAAATATGACAAAAACTTACTAAAACATAACAAATGAAAATGTATAATTAATTTACTAATTTAATATTTTAATGGTAACATTTCGGTTTGGTATATTCGGTATTTATTTTTTGGAAACTCGTTCTATACTGTTTTGGAAACGATTCAGCTTGGTTCGAGATATTATTTACTAGAACTATTTTAAAATTTACTTTTCGATTTGGTACAATGTCGGACCGGTATTTTTGCCCAGCCCTAAAAAATATCCTAATATGAAGTATAATTTTATGAGACTCATAAACTTCTCACCAACAAAATATGCATCGTATAGTCAACTAAACTCTCGTTTTTCGTATGTCATAAATACTCAGTGGAAACTTGAGCCCCAAGTAATTTTATTATTATTATTTTTGCAATATGTTTGGTATTATTTTGCATTATTATGAATTTGATTTTAATGTAAAAATATTAAAGATCTTATTATATATGAAGCATATTTTAATCCTAGTAAGATTTTTTCCCTTTAACTTATCTAGCCATCTCGCTTTTAATTTCTTGGTCAAAATTCACGAACTTGACTTGAATTTGATTGGTGAAATAAATTATATTTTGTCATAATGTAAATTAAATACCATCAACTTCATTTATAATGCTCCGTATTGATATTTGATATATAGAATACTCTGTATTTAATTATTTATAAATGTAACTATTTAACAATATTTAATAACAATCATTATTATGAACATTATATATATATATATATATATATATATATATATATATATATATATATATATATATATATATATATATAAGTTTATTTCCTAAATCGTAACAGTGCAGTTCAAGGATAAAAATATCCTTTCTTCTCTTCTCCTAGTCCCATGAGGAGTCCTATACGTACATACATACATATACATACATACATACATACACACACACACACATATATATATGCGTCACGTCAGTTATATACTCCGTATATTTGGAAGTCCTCTCTCTTGTAATTATTATCATCGAATTAAAAAGCAAAAAGAGTAATTTGCGGGAAATAATAATAATAGTGGAGGATTCATGGGAAGGCAATTTGTATGTGAGCAACGAACTGTTGTACGAGATTATGGTTAGGTCTTCTTTAACAACGATGGACAAGTGCAAGGCTGTGAGCAAGGAGGTGAAGGACCTGATCCACGACACGTGGTTCGTCCGAAACTACTACCGCACCACGAAGAACATCCTCGGCTACTTCGTGCAGACGATCCAAAACCATTCCTCCGTCTCCACCTTCGTCTCCGTTGACGAGGACGAGGAGGGGGACGGCGAGTCCCCTTTGAGGGCCCCACGCGTATCCATGTCGTCTTTTATCAAAGACGACATGAAGATACTGGCATCGTCCAGCCAGGGGATCCTGTGCTGCAGAAGGTACGAGAGCGGTACCTACCGTTATTACATCTGCAAGCCGAGCACAGGGCAGATTGTGCTTCTCCCTAGCCCAATGAAGAGGCTAGGGAGCTTCCACGAACACGTCAGTTTGATTGTCGCGAAATCGACCCCCCTTCACTACCGAATCATCAGATACTATCCTGATCGCCATTTATCGTAAGTTCATTTACTCCCTCCATTCAAAATCTAATGTTTCTAATAATCCTTAATCGTCAGTTATTGTGGAATGGAGGGAGCATTGATTTATTTATTTACATCTTGTTATTTAATATTATTAGTCTTATTCTTTCAGATTACTAATGTTAAAAACATTTAATTTTCAGGCCATCTGGATACGATAGCTACGTGTGCGAAATTTTTGACTCGAAGATATGGACGTGGAGGCCAACAGAAAATCTTGTGACGGAATACAACACGATCTTTGAAAACCAGCCATCGGTTTGCATAGGTGAGGTTGCCTATTTGCTGACGAACAAAGACACGGTTGTGGCCTTCGACTCGTCGCTGGAGACTCACGCGGAGTTCGGCATACCCGCACCGGCACGCGCCGAAGGCAACGGGTACAACGTGAGGCAAATCGTGGAGTACAAGGGGAAGCTGGGGCTGACTTCGCGGGAGCGAAACTCGGACAGGTTGTTCCTGTGGGTGTTGGAGGACGGCAAGAGTTGCAGGTGGAGGGAGGAGAGGGAGGTGGAGATCGACGAGAACGAGGGCAGGCTGGTGGGGTGTGGGCTTGCTGACACGGCGTTGATGGTCGGGTACGAGCTTCAAGTTTACAGACAGAGCGGCTTTTGTTACCCTTATAAACCTATCACCGCTATCTTCCCCTTCCGGTCAGATTGGGAGGCTGTGAATCTTGAAGGAGAGGAGGGATGCATGCTGAGCTCTTTGGAAGAGATGATGATGTGCTAATCCAGCTCCATGTTCATGTGAAAGCTTTGTCTAAGTGAATGTACTAACACCCTAGCACAAGGTACTACTGCTAGCCAATTCTCCTGCTCAAAAGACTATGTTTTTTTAAAGAATCTGTGATTGGTTGATTTGATACTTTGGTGATCATATCAGACCAAGTGGTCCAAAGTCTTCATTCACACACTTGAAAGTTTGTTTGTACACACTATCTGTTCTGCTTTACTACATGTCACTGCAGTATATGTAATCCTTGTGGAACTTATAATACAACTCAGAAATTTTGAAATTTGTGTGCAACAATACCATTAATCTCCTTGCCAAACACCCCAATGCTTTACTCCATTGAGAAGTAATGCACTACATCCGACCGAGAGTATTTGTCTAGTTTGACTTTTTTCGAGTCAAACAAGACAAGCTTTGAGCATCAACTACTCTAAATTCGTATTGCATATTAATACAATGAAATAAAACTTTGAAAATTCTCAACAAGGTAAATCTAATAAAATCATTTTTATAGTAGGATACATTATAATTTTTGTTTATGTAAAGCTCAAAGTTGATCTTGTTTGACTCGAAAAAGTCAAACGAGACAGATACGCTGGGACGGAGGGATTAAATGCTAAATGTTCATGGGAAAGCTTTGGTTGAGTGAATGTAAAACCCTAATCCCAGTACGAAACCATTAACATCTTGTATCGTAGTACGTGTTAAGTAGCCTATGAGGGATTTGAACCCACATCTTATTTGTGTTAAGCCACAAATGCTCTACCGATTGAGCTAATAGGCTTTGCAAAATGGCAATGAAGTTCAACTTATTCATTGACAAAATAGAAATGGTAAATCAGACGAAATTGATCAATGCATATAAGTAATTAATAAGCCTTTGTTTTTATTTTGTCAAATATTGGGATGAAACAATTCCAAGCAGAGAGCATATCTCCACACAAATCAAACAAAGTGATGAGCAAATATATCCTAAAGCTCCGTTTGGTACACGGAATTCAGACCATGCAATTGGAATTAGAGACAATAATTCCAATTATGCCATTTGGTAGCACAAAAAATATATGAATTTGGAATTGGTAATGCCAAAAATGAATTGGAATTGGAGAATTCAATTCCATCGAAATCAATTCCATAGAATTTCAATTTTCAATTCAATTCCAAATCCGTCAATGAATTCCAAAAACACAAACAACACCAACTGATTGATGAGAAAATATATCTTAATTGAATTCCAATAACGCAGATCATGCGAACTTTATGAGCAGACAAATCGTAATTGAATCCCAAAAACCCAAACTGTAAGAATTGACGAGCAAAATTATATACCTAGGGATGAAGACGCGCTGCGCTTCTGTGCGGTTAGATCTCCGGGGATTGGACGTGGTCGCTGTAAGTGTGAATGGCTTCATGAAGGCAATGAGAGAGATGGAGGCCGGCGGAAAAGCTGCCGGAATCGCTGGGGGAGAGCTATGATGTTTCCCTGCGGAATGGAGCGCCGGAGCGGACGTCGGGTTCTGTTTGGAAATGGCCTTTAGTCATTTTTTTCTAGAACTGCTCTACAATATACTTCGTCCCTCCCTGATAGATATTTTCATTAGCCTTTTTTATTTGTCTCACATAAATCTTTTCATTACCTTTTTTAACATTTAAATATCACAACTATCCCCATTTACTTTATTTATTACACCTTTTCCATCATATTTAATACACCCCACCCATTTTCATTAAGGGTATTTTGGTAAACTTTCATCTTTTTTCAACTCTCCTTAAAAACCGAAAAAAGTCAAAACGAGAAGATCTTAGGGGGGCGGATGGAGTATATTTTCATAAACGCGGGTGAGACATAGCTCAGCGGTTGGTATACGAATGTTACAAGGAAAAGATCCCGAATTTGAAGCCTCGTGCCTGCAATGAGAGGCAACATGCAAAATATGGGGCTTATGTAACTATCAGGCTCGGAATCTCACCTTTATGTCAACTGACTCAGATCATAGCTCAATTTAGTTGCTCTCAATTAATTGTCTAGTCGGTGCGAAGTGACCCTCAAACAAATTTATGGCTTAATCCTTCCACTCACTAACCAAACAAATTTATGGCTTCATAGTGGATAAAAAAAATTCTTTGGTGCATATGAGTTGCAAGTGGGTGATGCACTTGTTTGCCACTTTAGCAAACATGAGGTATGATCTCAAAATTACAAAAAGGAAAAGGAAACTTAAATCATCAGTTAAATGTAATTTGGTTGGGAAGCTGGTAATGTCAAAAGGCTAAAAGTTCAATGCTCCTAAATTTATATTAGCTAGTGGACTTCATTATCTAACTTTGAGAGTTGGAATCACGCCACTCTGACCTTTCATTGAAGAGATATGAGCTCCCTCACAACCTCATTCGGTACCACGCTCCAAGTAATCCTGATAGAATAATATTCCGTCATCAATTATAGTGACGTTTTGTCATTTGATCTCTCCCCACTAGAGACAAGCTCTCAAGGTAAATATATTTATAAATGCTCAGTTCTTGTTTGAAAATTACACTATGGTGACGTACGTTCTCTCCTTTTTCATAGGTAATTGTTTATATATATAGAGCAACATAATAATTTTGAAAAAGTACGATCCATTTATTAAATCATTCTTATTTTGGTGAATCTACTTTACCAAGTTCAATTTAAATTAGCATAGTGATTAATCTTAATTTATAGATTCACTCTAGCTAGTGCAAAGTAAAATAAAATGTGACGCCACATAGAACAAAGAGGACAAGTTGAGACTTTCATTAGACTTGCTCTTAATACAGCCAATACTTCGGCTGAATCTCATGGGTCCAAATTCAAAAATAGATAACTACGTTCAATTTTGCAAGGATCATGGTTTCTTCTCTATCAACAAGGTTCCCATGACATTGGTTCGACATTGGGAACCAGTGTCATGGAATGACCCGGGGTGCTCTAGTGCCCTGTTTGTAAAATTGACGGTTCCTACCCCTCCTAATCCCCTCGGTAAAGCCCCCCACCCTGCCCCGACCCGAACACACCCCCAACCTCCTTCAATTGCACCCCACAAGAAGATTTTGACTCCAAAGTCAAAATCAACTTGTGGGGTGCAATTAGAGGGGGTGGGGGGCGGTGTGTTTGGGTCAGGGCGGGGTGGGGGGTTTACGGGGGGGGGGTTAGGAGTGGTAGGAACCGTCAATTTTACGAACGGGGCACCAGAGCGCCCCAGGGTCATCCCATTCCCAATGTCATGGGAACCTTGCCCCTTCCCTATTGCCTAAACATAAATCAAGAAAGGTATTATAATCTCAATAAATCTCGATATCTTTTTCTTCTTATTTGCCCTTCATTTTGTATTCATCTATCCAGACAATACTCTCTCTCACTCAAAATAAGATTCTTGTTCAATTTTAGATGTTTGATTGCTATTATTTTTAAATAAGTACAAGTAAAAATTGGTATAAAATTAAGAAATAAAAATTATATTTTTAAAAATTGAAATCTTTAATTTCTTATAGAGTATTAGTGTATTACGATTAGTAAATATTTTTCTTGTTAAAAAAATCAGTTTGGCGTTTTGAACCCCATCCCTATTTTTACTCTCCCGTTGCCGCTATGAATAGAAGCCACTAAAATTAAACCCTCCGCATCCTCCCAGGCGAGCTCCACTTCAACGCCGTGCGCCGCCGTCTTCCTCCGCAGCAGGCACCCAACGACGATGAGGCTCTTGACTCACAACATGCTATCTTCGAATATAAAGGGGGTGACTAACGGCTTTCCTCTTCGGATCGAGGTAGAGAAGGCCATGGAGAAATCGGTGGATTTCAACGGCGAGTTCATCAGGAGTCTCTTCCCGAAGATCGATTGGGCGGCGCTGGTCGAAGCTTCGAGAAGCTTGGGCTACGCGGAGCTGCCGGAAAGTGCCGACGCCGCTGCTTCCATGCTTGAATCGGAGGAGTTTCTCCAGAAGGTACACCATGCGCTCCTCGAGATTCATCTCGAAGAGGGGGCTCTGGTTTGCCCGGAAACTGGCCGGAAATTTCCTGTGAGTAAGGGGATTCCCAACATGCTTCTTCACGAGGACGAGGTCTAATTTCGATCTTATGAATGCTTTTGGATTGGGATTTAGTGGCCTGAGTTAGGGTTTATGGCCGTTTATTATGGAATGTTTTCATGGAATTGATCAATTGAGTATGCAACTGAAATCAATTTGCTTTTTTGTGTTAATCTCTTTCTGATCTTGATTGAAGCTTAAAATTACTCTGTGTGGAAGACGATTAACAGATTATAAGAGACCAAATCTCAAATATGCAGATTGCCCAGTGCCCTAACTGAACTGCTTCATAAAAAAAGACTGAACCTTTATTCAGCTTAATTACTTTGTAGCAGAAGAGAAAATTCCCAAAAGAAAAAGAACAGATTTTTAATCGAAATTTTTGCTTTTCCAAAGATGTAATTTGAACATAACAAAATTGCAGGAGTTGGATATTGAAATTTCATCAGGAAACTCCGAAGAACTGTCATTATATAAGAACAGATTCTTGTGTAACTTGTTTTTGTGTGATCAATGAAGCAAGTGCAACTTGTTTATGTGTAGACTTCCTCAGTTTGAAATTGAGAACCCAGATTTCTATGACAAACTGTTGAAAAGTTTTTGCTTTTGTTTTGGGGTTTTCCTGTTGTTCAAGTCTTTTCTTGGAACAAGGATGAATACAGAAAACTGATCCTTGTCTTTCCATTAAAGCAGGATATCTCATTTCAGCTTAATGGCATGGTGAAATGCCGGTATTGTAGTATGGTTTGCACCAGTCTATATATCTCTTCTTTAGCATGCTAGTCTTCTTGTGTTAAACTCAGTCCTATTTGTTTTGTTTTGTGGGGTTGTTTGTTCACAAATGCGGAATATATTGAGTAAATTTGGGTTTATATATTACCAGAGAGTGACTACCACATTACGGAGTAACTACCCAAAATGCGGTTGGTTTTCTCCTAGGATAAAACATCTGTGAGTTAGGAATGAGGTGAGTTATGTTAACTCTGGCAAACTGGAACAACAAACACAACGTTTTATTAAGCGAAAGGAGTATTTGTTAGATGCCTCGCACACCTCTAGAGGGGAGGTGAATAGAAGTGTTGCCCAAAAGACCAATTTTTTTTGCGCGGAAACGTTCTTCACGAATATTCAATAAAAACAATACACCACAAACATAATTAAGTGAAGGATAAGAGCAATGCACACACGATATATACTGGTTCGGCCTAAATGCCTACATCCAGTCCCCGAAGCAATCGTGCCCAGGCCTTCACTAACCCGTCAAACTTAACGGAGTTTGACAATCCGAATACAACTCGAGAACTTGATTTCACAAGCCTCTTATCTTACCACTGAAGTTTTGATTTCACAAAACTCAGGATTTCTTCCACCTAACGTTTGATTTCACAAACCGTTAGGATTTCTACCACTTGGTGTAATCCCAACACCAAGAATACAAATCCCTTACATTAAAATAAGAAAACAAACCGCAACCGAGTAATTCTCCCAACACGGAGTAGATTGTTGCAAATACAATGAAATCCTTTAGAATATGGCAATATCTCTCAAAGACTCAAGCAATGAGGAAAAACTCAAGCAAGAAATGATTTAGCAATCAAAACAATTGCCTTGCTTGGATATAAGGAGGGGATTGAGTAGAATCTCTTTGGATATTCAAAGGATATGTTTTGAAGTGTTTTCAATGTATATTCTTGTCCAAAAACACGAGATAGGATAGTTTATAGAAGTTAGGGAGTGGATAGGGATGAAAAGCATTCAAAAAACTAGCCGTTTGGTAGTTGAAACTGTCGAACTATTCGACTAAATCAAGACTTAGTCGACTAGTTTTGGTGAAACTGCAATCTGACTTATTCAATTAGTTCTGGATATATTCAACTAAGTCAGAATAGAATTTCAGGGATTTATTCGAATAGTTTTCAATTTATTCGAATAGTTTGCTGAAAAAAATGTGTTTTAAAAGTAGGATGATAAGGGAATGAACCTTAGAGATGCCATACTCTTTAACACATAATCTAAGACCTAAAACACTACCCAACTAAGGAAACAACCTCTTCGGTCTCGTTCCTTCCACTGATGCTCAAGTCCCTTCTTCACGGACGGATATGAACTTGTTGTAGCTTTGATTCTTAGCCTTGATGCACAAAATGATGATGATATTTTGTCAATCTTTTGTCATTATCAAAACCTAAAAGACAATGGGCAAAGGACATTGCAAAAATATATATGCATGATAGCACATTGTCCAACAGTATTTGGTCGGTAGGATTGTCGGAATATATCTTGGTGTTGCTCATTTGCTTTCTGTGTTAGCCTAGACTAGAAGTGGTCCTTATATAGTGGGCGGATGGAGTAGTGCGACAGATAACGATGATTCTTGTGGCACACATGGTTGATGGCCAGTGAAAAAAGCATACGAGGAAACAAAGAGATCAATGCACACATTTGGGAAAAAAAGGATACACCCCATCCCGAGGGTCCTCCAGGCATCCCGAGGGTCCTTCAGGCAGGGCCCGGACGGTACACCCGAGAGGAGGTAAGTAGAGTATTGATTTCAAGTGAGAAATAAGAAATGAGGTCTGTTCTAATTCCAAAAGATGTTTTTACATTACATAAATCATCTCACACTTGCCTTCGCTAGGAGTCGAACCCGACCAATACGCTCTTTCGCACCCCATATTGATCGCTTGAACAACGCTCGTGCAACATACTCTTGAATTTAGCCTTTTGGTACATGTGAATTAATTATTACTCTTCGTCTAAAAAGAATATCATAATTCACTATTACAAAATATAGAAATTTTTATTTATTTGTTTGTTTCCATTGGTTATCTGATAAATTCTTATATTTTGTCACCTCTAGTTTTGTAGACCTTTTGGCGTATATTTTAAATATGAAAGTTTTTATTTTTTATTTTGATACCAATTTTTAAATAAATTGAATTTAAAAAATACCGGAGTATAAAATTTTACTTCGTTTGGGTAACGTGACATCTTTTTGAGATGGAGAATATGTTAATTCAGAATTGGGTAGTTTCATCTAAATTGTAGAGTTCATATTCGTCTCCCGTAAAACATCATTCTTTTCTTTTTCATTTGTCCCCAAAAAATTACTCTTTCAGTCACATTTTACAACGCCTGTTTTGATTTACGATGTATGATTGAAATTCTTTCCAAATCATTTTATATGACAAATGGTATATAGTTGAAAAATAAGAATTACATATTAAAATACTACATCAAAAGATCTACAAAACTAGTAGCGACAATAGTACTTTATTTTATCAAACTGCTAACGAGAATAGTGAAAGAAAGTAAATGAAGTTTGACCATGTAAATAGTGAACAAACATTATTATTTACATATTGCTATAGAAATAAAAAATAAAATTTACATATCAAAAAATTACATGAAAAGTTCTTCGAAATAAGAGGTGTCAAGAATATTTTATTTTATCAAATAACCAATGAAAACGTAGGAATAAACAAAAGTTCTCGCGACTGCTCCAAAAGCAAACGTTGCAAATAGTTTGAGACGGAGGGAGTACAATACTTCTTTTTTATGCCAACATTATAAAAAATTAATTTTTGTATAATGTGACAAACATTTTAAGATGGAGGGAGTAATTCCTTTTAATTTGTTAGTGATCGATTCCATTGTTTTTTAGTAGTTGTTTTTGTACCATTTCTTTGGTACATTTAACCCAAAAAAATTAAAAATATTGCCTCTGGTGCAGCCCAAGCAATGACAACAAATTGAAAAATGTTCAATTAGAATTGGGATATCTTAGAATAGTGAATAAAATTTTAATTTTTTTTAAAAAGAAAATAAGGTTGTACTATTTGATAAAATTTTAATTATTTTTAAAAAGAAAATAAGGTTGTACTATTTGATAAAATTTTAAATTTTTTTAAAATGAAAATAAAGTTGTACTATTTGATAAAACTTAGAAATGAAATTTTGCTCGACCAAAAAATGATTTCACTTTCTCCTTTCAGAAAAAAATTTGTGATCATTACAATTTCTCACTTCTTTGTATATAATTTTATTTTTTGATCTCTGTGTCAAGTCAAATGTGATTTTTTTGGGATCGAGTGAGTAAAATATAAGAAACAAAACTTTTTTTTTGGTTGAATATGAAATTGGTATTTATAGACCAAAAAAATTTAAAACCATTTTCTCTTAATTGTTGGAGCGACAAAAAAAATCAACCGGATCAAAAGAAAGGGACTAATGTGACATTTTGTGTTGGCATTATCATGTTATTTTTGTACTTCTTCCATTCTAAAATATTTGTCACATTACGCAAAATGAAACAAATTTCAAGTTTTTTCAATTCATTTTATTAAAAGATTGATGTAAGAATGAAGAAGAAAATTTACACATTTAAAAACTACCGGCGTACATAAAAAATCCTACAGAACAAAAGTGAAAAGAACATTTTATTTTATCAAATAATCGATGAAAACATAGAATTAACAGTAGTTCTCGTCATTTTTGAATAGTGACCTTTGCCATTTTAGGAAAGAAGTATATTGTTATCCTTATTTTGAGGATAAAGTATGTTCAATTTTTTAACATTAATAACTTTATTATAATGTAGTATCTCTTCATACATTTTCAACTTATTAAACACGCAAAGTTATTACCATCACTGGAGATCGAACCCGTGACCTTTCAATATAGGAGAATCACCATGATGTCGCTGGACTAGAAGATCTTTGGCAAAGATGTTCTATTTTGATTCTTTTTCATACTATGTACTACATTCGTTCCTGAATATTTGTTCAGTTTTGATTTTTTTCAGTCAACCATTTTCAACGTTTGACATTTAATTAAATAAAATATATATTGTATATTTATTAGATATAATAATATTTTTAAAATATTTGATATAATAAATCTAATAAAACTATTTTGGTATCAATATCTAGTATCATTTTTATTTAATTTGAAGTCAAAGTCTATCAAAAAAATTAAAAGTGGACAATTACTATGAGATTGAGGAAGTCTGTTTTATTCTAATTTTAGTGGTTTTCCATTCCAAGATGATCATCTTATTTAACTTTTGTGATATCTTTGATTACAAATAAAATATAAATATAAATAAATAAATTTAATAAAAACTTAATATAGCAAAAATATATTTTAAAATAAACTTTTTTTGAGGAAATAAAATAAATTTAATAATTTATGATTGATAAAAAAATATAGGACTATAATTTTGAGAGAGTTACAAACACCAAGAATTTTGACAGATGAAAACTTGTTGAAGAGGGAGAGAAATCAAAGTACAAATATCCGGCTACAGTAGCTGCAGAAGGGGAGAGAAAAGCTGTGGAGGAGGGAGATGGGAAACCCCAAGCAGAAATGGACATCGGAAGAAGAAGAAGCTCTCCGCGCCGGCGTGGCCAAGCACGGCGCCGGCAAGTGGAAGAACATCCAGAAGGACCCCGAATTCTATCACCTCTTACATTCTCGCTCCAATATTGATCTGAAGGTTGTTTCTTCAACAACTTCGTGCATATTCTGTTCCCTCTCAAATCTGTTGATTGTGTGGGTTTTATTTTTTTTTTGTTCAAAACAATGGAATCGATGAGATAATGGGTTTGGGTTTTAGGGTTTAGCTTCTGTAATTGTGTGATTTACCTATTTACTTGTCCCAAGGGTGAAGATTTTATTTTACTGGGATATACCTTTGGTCTTCGGTTCGGTTCTAAAAACTACTGTATTACCTTGATGACTAGAAAAATGATTTGTACCCTTGAAAGGTATGCATTAATGCTGCCAAACTGGAATCTATTGGTCTTGATTCCTTTACATTTTAGTTGTTCCACCAACTTGGTGGTCCGGGGTGAGACTTGGATGCTGGGGCTGTTTGGTTGGTAGCTTGGCGGCATACAGGGGGGGTGTGGATGCAAGGAAGAAATCGTGTTTAAGGGGTTAGGGTTTGGTTCATGAAATTAGTGTAACCACTAACCACTATATGCGTAGGATGGAGGGTCGGCGATAGGATCAAGAGTACAAAGAAGTCAGAAAACTACTAATGCCTAGTTGCCTACAATATCAATTCTGCGTGTTTGATCCACAATTAATGGCTGAATAGAGGTTTTGGTTTGTAATTTTCTTGTCCATTTTTAGTACCAAACCCTCAATGTGGTTAAAACTCTAGGGGCCACTGATGCTCACGTCGGAATATGATTATATGAATTATCTGTTGTTCATAATCTTGGCAGTATAACAGCCTATAGCTATCCTGGGCCTTTTAATTAACCTCAGATTACTATCCCAACTCTTTATATTGTTTATACTATTTTTATTCTTAACCCCATAGAAAGGGCCCATGCCAGGCCCAAGATTCCTATCAAACAAGGGATGGGAGCGGTGGCATGGGCTTACACATAACTTTCTCTACCATAGCTAGTTAGCTACTGATGCGTCAACTGCAATAACCATTTGAAATATCTCTCAAACATAAGTATATGTGGTAATTTTATGGAAACTCAAAAGGGGGTGGGGGGTGTGGAGCCCTTCCTTGCAAAATTCTGGGTGGTGGTGTACATGCTCAAATCTTAATAGGAAGTTGTGTGTCTAGAACTATGTTGCTTTATTTGTGAAGCCGCATTATTTTTAAAAGCTAAAATAGGCTTCAAGGCATTTTGTGTTAGCCACATGAGGCCTAAGCTTCAAGAAGGATTGAAGTGTAAGATGCTTAGGTAAAATTTATACTCCGTAATAAGTATACAAATTCTTATAGTTCAATCTAGTATGTGAATATGTGATAGTACAAAAATATATTTTTAATAAGTACAATACGGAATCACTCATTACAACAACGATAATTGCATGAAAATAATTTCTAGTTTCATAAAAGTAATCAAATATTTGAGCCAATTCTTTCGCATAAAAGTAGGATGAAGAAAAAGTTTAGTAGGGAGGAAAGTTGGTTCCTTATTCTGAAAACTTCAATCATGCATAGAATCGTATTCGGTAGAGAACATAAAATAATAAAATAGTTAGGTATTGAACAAACATCTAAAGTTCTACAGTTTGGTTGGGTACTTGAGTTAGGCATTTCTTCTTAAAATCTAACTGAAAGCCTCTTAATCTTTTAACAAAAAAATTGTTATTGAGGCAAAATAAATTTTTTTGCGCCTGTTTGGTGAGCGCAGGAGATATGGGTTTTGATATCTCTCTAGATATCAAAACCCTTATGTTGGTGTTTTGATATCTCCCGTTTTGTGGAGATATCATTTTGGGGGGGTTGATATCTCCCAAACTGCTGGCCACCGCCTTCGACTACCCAACGCTGCCGGCCACCACCACCTGCCATCGTCTGCCGCAGACCATCGCTCACTAACAACCATTTCTCCAAACACTTCGATTTATAAACCCATATCATTTCTTGCCGATGTCAAAACCCATATAATATCAACCCTTGGATAATATTAGAGATGTAAGCCTTACTTGGGTGGGGTTTAAGCTTCTCTATGGCCTATAGACACAGTACCCTCAAGGCAGTTTTGTATAGCTTGGCATCGAGGACACCCCCATGGGTTAAGCACTTAAGCTTCAATAACTCTCTAACATTTAGTATCACAATTTTTTCTGACGGAATTTAGCATCATAAATAGTACGAGGAGAATACAAAAATTTGACCTTTAAGTATTTGTCCCCAAGTCTCGCTGTGGTAAAATTACAAATTTCATACTAGACTTTTTTCGCGAAACAGTTAGGTCTGGACTGCTGTTAGGGGTCTTCTTGGAAACAAACTCTCTACTCTTAAAGGTAGAGGTAAGGCCAACATACATTGTATTGTCTGTAGGCTCTCCTTTTAAGGGAGTTCAGTGGGTACATTTTGTTTGGCTTAGTTAGGTCTAATGGAAATTAAATTTGTAAGAGGCTTATTGCATTTTTTTTTCTCTTTAGGATAAATGGAGGAATCTGAATGTAAGTGCCAATGCACAAGGAGGCCCAAGGGACAAATCAAGGACTCCAAAGCCAAAGGCCAACCCTGAAGTTCCTATTACTCCAGTGCCTAGCGCACCCACCGTACATGCTTCCCCCACTCCACTCTTACACGATGCAACAGATGCCACTGCTGTGGATAATACAAAATGTTTATTAGATGGGAAAACTGCTTCGAAGTGGGTTTCATTCTCTCTGCCTTCATTATGCATCTTACTGCTAGCATTATCATGATTAAATAAAGTCATATGTCATAAGTGTGTGAGTGTGTCCAATTATAATATCTATTTATAGTAAAATTATTTGAATCTGAATTTTGAGGAAGATTGTTGATAAGGAAGATTACGACTGTCATTTTACAACCTAGTGCTTCTTGTATGTGAGCTTAAGACACGGGAGACAATGGCATGGCATGGCTTGCTACATTCCCTCTTACATCACGATAGAAGGGGTCATATATCCCTTTAAAAGGATAGAAGGGTCATTAGCAATTAGACCTGCTTAATTTTATGCAACCACGCACATAACGGTATCTAAATCTAAAATGTTCATACATAGAATCCAGAAGGGAAACCTAACTAACTTTCTGATCTAAGTTAGAGTACCTTAATCTCACTATGTTTTCTTGTCACGGCTGTTGAAAGTTGTTTTCCTCAACTTTTCTTTTTAGGTACAATAGCATGGTTTATGAAGCACTTACAACTCTCAAGGATCCAAATGGATGTGATGTATCAACAATTATCAATTTCATTGAGGTATATTATATATGTCACATTCCCTATCTTGATAATTGCTACTCCATCTTCTTGCATAGATTCCTTCACATGGTTTCCTAGCAAACAGATATCATTCATGAATTTGATGAACACAAGGGCTTAGATATATGCTTTTAAATGAAATAGATTACATCTCTTTTACCATTCTTCATGTTCAAACTAGAATCAAATGATTGGAAAGCAGGAACAGAATATGTTTTTGGAACTACAATGTGGCAATAAAATTTTTAAATGCATCGAGTCTCTAACCCTTACCTAGCTCTAGTTGTATTGGGCTCCCATTTGGTATTCTGCACTTGGATATACATGCAGTATGAAGAGTCTTAGTATATAGAATTATACAATACATCTGTAATTTTGTATCGTTCACATGGTCTCAGAATTAAAAAAACAAGTGTTGAAGGTTGCATTTTATGATGATGATTACTATATTACCATTATTACTGGTATTATTATTATCATCATTATTGATATACTATTATTTGTTAAATACAGAAAAGGCATGAGGTACCCCAAAATTTTAGACGATTACTTGGTTCTAGGTTGAGGAGGCTTCTTCAACAAGAGAAACTCGAAAAGGTAGTCTGATTCTTACACTTAAGCATGCAATGTTCTAAACTTCTTGTGTCACCAAAGGGAAGGATAATCTGTTTATGACCATAATGCATCTATGTTTGTATTTCAAAGGTGCTACTACTATCATTCTTTTAATGAGTTCATACTTCATAGAAACTGCAGTGTGTGTGTGTGTGTGTGTGTGTATGGATTTAGTTGGAGTAATATAAATGGGTATTGTTTAGGCTTACAATTGGCCGGGTTTACCTGGGCTTTCACCTTGAGGTTAACGGGCCCTAGCTCCTGGGCATAGTGGTAACAAAAAAGCACACCACCTGCTCTCACTCACTGCCTCCATCCAAAATTACAGTTTACACTTTCTCACTCTCCCATAAAGGAAAAGAATTTGTGACACAATTTCTGTCTTCTAAACAAATTCAATAACCCACTTTACTTTTCAAACTTTTTCTTTAACTCCGTGAAGTCAAACCGCAATCTTCATTTTGGCACGGAGGGAATGTGTGGGTGTGTGTGTATTGCATAATCTAAGCAAAATATATCAAAGTATTGGGATTTTTTTAAAAGTGCTTACAGCCAACTATTGGCCATTGCATTATGCAGGAGCAGCAAAGTAGTCTAGATTAATATTATGTGGTCAGACCTAGAAGTTTGTTCATATTTTATATGCTATTCTGGGTACAGGTAGGGAACTGCTATAGGATCAAGAAAGAGTTCTTACATGGTGCATCTCCAACTCCAACCCCAACCCCAACTTCAGCACCAATTCCAAAACAGGAGAGCAGGCTAAAGGAGGAAGTACAACACACCAGCTATCTTGGGAATACACTTGAAGAAGCAGCCATAGAGGCTGCCCGCAGGATTGTAGAAGCCGAAAACAAATCATTTGTGGCAGCTGAGGCTGTAAGGGACGCTGAGAAGGCCTCCCGAATGGCTGAGGATAACGAGTGTCTGTATCAGGTGGCAAAGGACATCTACGATAAATGTAAGATTATTATGAAAGATATATTTGCTTGTTCCATTTCTCTAGACGTCAATCCCTGCCTAGGCCATCATAGTCTCTCTACTGAGGCTAGAAAGTTTTGGAGGGGAGGACTTGAAAAGACTCAATCTGGGTCATATTATATGTTAATCTTTCTTCGTCGAAAGCACTCAAATAGATTTAAGCCCTCCAACAAAGTCGTTTCCTCCAAACAGAGCCTTAGGTGCCTCTTCTTTAAGTTCTGCCTGACCCCAACTAGCCTGCCACTAGGTTCTTGGCACCATATCCCCTCCCTCCCCCCACCCCACCCCCCAAA